AACAGAGGAACTCACACTACTTCTATTTCAGGCTAAACTTTCTAACTTCCCATTCTGAACTTTCAATATCATCAACTTTGACTTTTTCTGGAATTGTACAGATCATTTGTTTACAAACTCAGCTGAAAAATTACATTTTATTTCTTTATTTAATTTTCTTTTATTTATACTTTTGACAATATACATAATTAAAATATTCATACAAGTTCTGGAGGTGGAGGAATTTGCCCGGCTCAGAAATTTAGACATATTTTTGATAGATCTTAATAGAAATGGTTGCTTTCTTGCAAAACTTCATAATTCCATGGTCTATATCTAATTTTTATTAAGTTACCAAAACACTTCTGATGTGACAGATATGTGGAACATTTGAACAGAAGCACTGAAATATCAAAATTTAAAGAAAGTCTGAATGATAGTGTCATACAAAGTTCTTGGCCAAAGCAATAAATTGTACTAACTTTACTAACATGAGTGAATTTCTGTTTTCTGATATCACAGGTTCTATTTGACATGCATTCTACAATTGACACTTTCTATTTGACATATAGTCTGTATTTCAATATAGCTATTAAGTCCTTTGGGAGCTCTGGTAGCGCAGTGCCTAAGGCACTTGACTGCTAACCAGAAGGCTGGCGGTTCAAATCCACCAGCCACTCTTCGGAAGGAGGTTGGGCAATTAATTCCGTAGTGATACTGCCTCAGAAATCCAAGGAGGAGTCACTATGAGTCAGGGGCGACTCGACAGCACATAACAACAACAATAACAATATTAAGTCCTTTATGTATTCATTTTACAGTTTGTTTTCACATCAACTCAATACTTTTGATTTGACTTTTTTTTTTAGACACCTGGCCATTTTGAGTACTACCTTCTTAAGTAGTGTTTACTTCTGTTCTCTGATGTATGCTGACTAGCATGTTAGTTGGCATTTAATAAAGTGAAACTAAAATTATTATATACATTAATCTTAAGTCATTGCCACATATTTATTTTTCTGTCTAAATATGGAACTTTGTCTCAATAACATCAACTCACAGTTGTGGGTTTGTTATTTCCATCCATGTGATCCTTGAGTTCCTTTATATCTTCCAACTTACTTGTTTCCTTTTACAGCTATGTGGTTCTCACATGTATTGTGAACAAGTATTTATTTTATCTCATCTAATCACTGATGAATATGCTAAGAAGAACTGAACCTAGCAACAATATTTCAAATTCCTTATTAAATTTCATAAATTAGTGATTAATAAAAAAATGAGCAAAGGCAAAACTTTAATTGATTCCTGTGCA